AAGAGGATCAGTGCAGTGGATACGAAGTCCGAGAGTGGATACTACCTCAAGGAGAAAGACGGTAAGCGCGATCCGCTGTCCCTGCGGCATCTACCCGGGACATTCAACATTTACCACCATAGATCCCACTTATTTCCCTGGCCGTGCGGCAGCAATCTTCTACCGCCGTCCACCATCGTCTCATAAACACTCCGGTCTCACCGCAGTCATGGAAAGCGTCAAGTCCGCCCTGGGCTCTCACTCCGACATCGAGCTCGGTAGCGTCGGTATCCTGCACCCCTCGGTTCTAGAGAAGTTCGAAATTCCGTACCCTTGTTCCGCTTTGGAGATCACCCTCGAGCTGTTCAGACAAGGGGCCCATCCCTAACTATGGACGTCTCGCCAACAATGTTGGGGTGAGGGAGAATGTTGTGGTATACGCCATGTATCTCCAAATTGTAATGACAAGAAACAAGGCTATTGGCGTCCGTATGATGGATTCGGGAAGCGAGAACGAAAGAGGGATGAAAATGGAAACTTGTACAAGGCTCGGATTGCTATCGATAGAGATGGAGGTGACAAGGCGCATGCAGAAGTTTACCATGAAGCAAGGGGGGAAATGAAGGAATTCCGTCGGAATAAAGATATCAAGGATAAAAAACGCGGGGGCAGGGAGCAGACACTGGAAAGCGGCGTGAGGCGAAAACAATCACATCAACCCCGCAGCCCTCAGGTCGCTTTGTAACCTCGCTTCCTCAGCCCAAGCGTGTGCAAGCCGTACCCCCGAATCTGAAGACGGTCTACCGAGTTCTACATTGTTTCCTATTTGGCTCATCCTAGCAGCCGTCTCCGCAGAAACGGCCGCTGAATTTGGGGTGTTTGGACCCTCATCCCGTGAGAGGGAGAAACCGTGTCGAAGCATAGCGTGGTTGCCAAACGCGGCGCGCAGCCTCCGGGACAGCAGATTCTCGCTCGGCGTCGAGTTTACGGTATCAGAAGAAGCGAGAATACTCCGCTCCCACCTCTTGACCCTCCAATAGGACAGGACGGACGTCAGGAGGATGAACCACCCTAGTTGCATCCCAGTCAATGGGTCATCAAAAAGCCGTGAGGAAGCCACTCACCAACTGTCATCAAGAAGAAAGATAACCATTCCGACGTTGAGTCCGCGAAAGGGTTAACGTAGACGCCGTTCGACGGCATGCTCATGTCAGTGCCGTTACTCATTTGATAATTGTCTCGTCTTGTAATGGGGGGAGGGTGGGTCTTGTAGTACCTGTCAGCTTCTGCAGCAGTTTCGAAAGTCGGCCGCGCTGGATCTGTGAGCCTCCATCCTGGGTATCCCTCGGAGCTGCTCCCGTCGGTGCCACTTAATCCAGTCCCATCCGAAACATTCTCCAATCGGGTCCTCAGGGCAAAACCGTATTGGATAAGGGTGACGCCGAGCCCTGCTCTACTTCCGTACTTGGCAGCATGCGTTGTATGCAGCAGGAAAGTCAAAAGGAAACCGACAAATTGGAATGATATCGATACCAGCATATTCCACAGGAAGGAGAAGAGCGTTCCGGTCGGGAGTCCCTCTATGACCATTTCGCCGGGGACGGAGGAAGCGGAAACGCCCGAAGGGAGGTGAATGGTAGTAGTTTCCCAATAAGGCGGGACAGCATCAGCTTGGGCCGAAGCGTAGGATGGTGGTCCCTCTCTCTGGGTCTCCTCGGGCGCTAGGTAAATGCTATCGTCGCCCTCTGAGTGATACAAAAGTAGAATCAGACTCCGCTGAGGTGGATTATGTGGCACGCACGATACTCTACGCACCTGTTTGTTGCTGCCTCCTTCGCTCAGGTTTGGCAGTGATGTTCGAGAACACGCCATCGTTCCTAACACCACCACCCACACGCGCAGCCGGGACAGATGTGCCACCCAGCCCCAGCCTACGAACGTAATGCAAAGGCAATACATTCGCAGCTGTCCTACTGAACCACGTCCTGGCACTTCCACGTCCAAGTCCTGCAAAGCCTACGTCGGTATCGAATGAGGGGACGTTGCCGTTGGTGTTGCCGTAATCATTCGCTATCGCTCGAGTAGGAGATCCTGGAGGTGGGACATCATAATCCACCCGCTCAAAATCGTATGTTCCTGGTACGGCTATTGACAGAGGGCGATTTTGGGCGGAGAGAGGGGGGGAAGTGCGACCAGCACGAGATGGGTTCAGAGGTTGCGATTCGGAAACTGGAGCGTTGTCGTCATCGTAGTCGAGCTCATCGTCCGAGCCATTGAAAGCGGCGTCGAGCTCGTCATCGGAATGCTCTGGAGGCCGTTGGGTGGGCAGGGGAGCATACCGAGCAGGCATAGTAATCCTAAAGGTTGTAGAGTGGGGCGTGGCTGTACAAGGGCCGCCGAGGTGAAATCGTGGGAAACGTTCCTCATTGGCTCGAGACCCCGCCGTCGTAGGATCAAGGTTGCGACTGTTCGTCGATTTGAAACCCTGAAGGTCTGATCCTTGACCTTGTCACCAGCACAGATTCTACAACAGAAGAACATTGCATAGGAGAAGTCTAATACTCTTCTGTATCGGAAAACTGGTGCCGTTGTCATTCTTCGCCTTGTGAATTCGAAACACTCAGGTGGACTATCTATCAAAGCCAGCCTTGAAAGGCAGGGGTGATCCCAGTGCCCGTTCCTCTAACATCTGCCCGGCATCTTTCCGAACCCGCCCAACTTGGTCTACGCTGGTTACTTCCTGTATACCAAGCGCACATATCTTCTCGACATCTTCGCCAGAGTTCTGGACGCCGCGAATGAATAATGACGACGGTTGATCAGCGTTCTGGCGACGATAGTGTTCTGAGATCGGATCAATGTGGGTTGAGAGTGTCCCCCCTCCGCGACACTTCACCCGAGGATAATTTTTGTGGGAGCTTGATCGTCAATTCCTCGAGCGGGAATAGACTATCAAATTATACTGCTCCGTCTCCATCGTGATTGTGGTTGCACATCGCCAGGGCCTTTACTATCCTAGCGATACCGATAAAAGGACTGACCGGAGGATTGCGCAAACACTACCACCAAACCCCATCGGTAGGTGAGACTCAGACTAGCTGGGTTGAGGAGCAAGAGGGAAGACAGCCACGATGAGCCTTCGAAAACTCATTCGATCCTTTCACAGATGTAGAATTACAGGTGGATAGGGCCTGTTTTCACCATCGAATCGAAATGTGAACCTCCAAGAAGATTGATTCTTTCTGGGGCCTACTGATTCTTCTCGAGTGCCATGAGCCGTCAAGAAGTAGTGAAGAACTCCGGCGTTCTAGGTGATAACAAATATGACGAACCCGTGGGCTTCTATGGGCCTATACGGAAGTTCAATCCGCGACGCATGACACGATGGGAGGATACTTACACAGTGCTGCTCCCGTGGTAGGGTTCGCAATACCTAGACGCATAGCCGAAGCTTGTACCTCTTGCTTTCCTTGGCAGAACTGGGTGTTTCTGTCCTCAGGTGGCATGGGGTCTTCTAAATCCGCGTCATACATCGTCTCTTGTAGGCACACATTGTTCTCCCCGACGCTTTCTTTTCCAATAATAGTTGACGATCCACGACCATAGTTAGGGGGACCGACTGGCGCACTTGGAGGAACGGAGCGACCGCAATAAACAGAGCCAAGATCTACCTGAATCACCGCGAAACCCTCTTCAGCTCAACGTTGCTTACCGAGAAGCGCACCTGCCCGAAACTAAAAGAGGACTGGGTATCGTGGATCCCAGCGGGTTGTGAGAATATTATGGGAAACAGAGTCGATTCGGCCGTCCATATTCGTAACCTCATGGGGACTATTCCGATGGACAATAGGTTCTCCTGTTCATAACATGTACGGGTTAAGTAAAATCACATCGATTTCTCGGGGTCAACCTCACCATATGTGGCAAACTTTGGCCTGTATCGTTCCTCGGGCGGCCAAACCTCTTTCCCCGCCAGTACGATCGAGATGAGCCACGAAAATGCCGCAATGGGACCGATGATGGTAGACGGGGTGCTATTGTATCCTTGCAAGAAAATCCCTTTTGCGTCATAATCGTTCTACAAGATCCGTGAGCGAAGCGATCTTGTGTCGAGTCCAAAGAGGTGCAAACAACGATGGAGATCCATATTCCAACTGCGGAGAAACCAATCCGCGGTTGAGACTGCGTCAGGTCGGTGCTCGTCCCAGAAAGCTCTGATGGAATAGACCGGAAAATATGAGGAAACCGGGGGTGAGACGGTGAAGGTCGCGCGTATTGCGTGGAGTCGTATGATATTTTGTTGGAAAGAGAGATATAGAACATGTTTTAATCGCGATGATTACCACACAACTCAACCGCCCTCGGATATCCTCGGACGATACGGCTTCGGGTCTTCGGGGTAAACTGGGAGAAGTACAGGAAAGACATGTGATGAGGAGGGCATAGATGGTAGATATTTGATGGTGGGAGGCGTCTTTTACGTGTTTTGGAGCGTGGAATATGAGGGTGCGTAGCTGGTGGGGAGTTAACCTTAATAGCACAAGACACCTCCGGGAAAATGGCGCTAATGTCCATGGATGCCTTCATAAATCGCATCAAGATTTCGTTCAGAAGACCGAGCGCTCCCAGGAGACGTCTGGTCGTTTCAGCTGCCAGGCGGCAAATATATAGTCTCTTGAGTGAGTGCAGAGGGACAGATTCCTTTCTGGGAGTTACTGTGGTTCTGTGCTAAGTTGAAACACACACTCGATTGGGGGTTCTTCAAGATACTACGGGGAGCACTGTAGGGCCCCGTTGGCGAGGGAATAGACGTCAATGTCAACGTCCTTCTGACAGCGGACGCCCAAAGTAAGGAACCCAAACTCATTGTTCTGCCAGGGGGGTGCATTTCGAGGTGTCCAACTCCCGAAGGCGTGAGGCGCTGTCGGAGAAGAGAGTAGACAGTTTCCTCTGATCCCGAGACGTTCAAGATCTCTGCCTTCGTCGTTCGTATTGTGCCCCCACAAGGGAGCTCGATGCAAGCCCGCGTTGTCTAATGGTTATGATATCAGACTTCTACGTAGCTCGCTTCTCACGTGATCTGAAGGTTCCGGGTTCGAGTCCCGGCGTGGGTTTTTCCCTTTTTATGCGTACGCATTGTGATCCTTGAGCAAAAAAAAGCCTAGAGAAACGTATCATATTGCATCTGCGCTTCACTGACCTCCTGAAACACGCCATACTTTCCATGTCAACAGTGTTGATCACCGCCCCATTGGAAGGCTACGCGCCGTAGCCAACACTAAAGAGCGGAAGACAACGGGTAGTGTTCATGGGGATAAAGGTAAGAACAACGGTATCGCTACCCACGAAGGTACGAAATATATTATAGTACGAAAGCCAACATGATGTGGTAATCCCGGTCACAGGATTACACCTGTCTAAGATTCGGACAACATGATGATGAAGGGATAATCGTATGCAAATTGGAGTATATACACAAAGCGAGCACATTGTAACCAAGACTATAACATTACACATTGAACAAATGTCCGACAAAAGACAGAAAGGTCATCTGGAGAGAGAATCCCAGATCTCTAGGAATGTATACATGATGTGCGACAGACTCGGTTCACCTCCATGCACCCAACCACAAAGAAACAAGCACAGCGATACAGGTCCCGACGTGAGAGTTCGACGGCGAGTGTTCAGCAGGCGACATGCGTGAGTGCATAGCAAAAGTGAGGTCAAGAAAACTAGGGCATCGTTCCCTCCTTGCTCAGTGTGGTCAGCTCCTCCAAGATATACTGCATCTCTTCCTCAGTCTTTGTCAAAGGCAAGCTGCGGGCGACGATGGCTCCGAACTGTGTGGGCGCCAGAGGTGAATGGTAATGATCGAAAGGGACGGAACGAGGTTATCTCACCAGTGTGCAGAATCCACCGAACCTCAAGACCCATGCAACGCCATTTCGACCGTAATAGGTCGTTTCGTCGTTTTGTTCACTCCCATCGACGATCTTGAAGATGAGGCTTGTAGCTAGCGAAACCTGTAGAACCCGTGTTGAGTGACCCCAGTTCCGAGCAAAACAATGGAAAATGACACACGAGGAATTGAGGGAACACAATCGCCAAATTATGAATTCCCAAAACCGTGCCACCAGCAACAGGTCTATCACGATCAACAGGTCCGAGCGTTTCCTCTTCGTAATTCTGCAACGATGCCGTTGCCCGAGCTTGCAACGATGCCGTTGCTCGAGCTTGCAACGATGCTGTCGCCCGAGCTAGCAACGGTTGTCGCTCAGAAGGGATGGCAAAGTTCGCAAAAGAGGCACTGCCGGTGTGAGTACGTGAATGAGCACGAGAATGGATACGAGAGTTGGCACGAGTTTGAGCGGGAGAAGTTGGTTCGACGATCTCTTCCATCTCTTTGAGGAACTAGGCGCGGGTCGCTTCAGCAACGGTAAACTACCGTGGCGATAAAGTCATCACCTCCATAATGATAGCGAACGGCACCCAGCAGGCTACAGCCCAGGAGATACCAACCAAACTGACGATAATGATGGCCTGAATCAGGTAGTCAGTTTCTAATGAAGACCAGCCCTGAGACTTCGAAACGCTTACGCCAATAGCAGAAGTAACAAGGAAAGTCGCCATCGTCAAAACGGTGAACAACACCAAAGCGCCAATCCAAATTGTCCTGTACAGGACGGGAAGTGTAGGCAATTTCATCGTTTTGCCCTTTTTGGCCGCCTCGGCGCGCCATTCGTAGATCAAACCCCTAAGACGAGCATTCTCCTCTTCTTCATCCTCATCCTGGACACGAAGGAGACGGTCGTCTCGACGAGACAAGTAAGGGAGGAGTGCACCAGCCACCACAGCGACGACACTGTTAAACAACATGCTGAGAGCTCCCATACGAGTGGCGTACTCGGCGTCAGGCTCTGCGTCCTTCTCCCTCGCCATGGCTTGTCCGATATAGGTTGTACTATATCGCCATGTCAACGGGTAATTCATCAAGGTAACGTTCTCACTCACGCATAGAAAAGGAAGGGGAACCTAAAATCAAAGTTTAGCTGAGGCTCACCACGGCAAACCAGAGAACGCGACTTACCATCCCATGAACGCAAACAATTGAACAGCGCAGACCTTCTTGATGGGTGGAGGCAACTTGAGGATCGCAGCATGAATGTTGCCCAAAATCTGCTTCATAGGGCTGTTTTGTCCTCATCAGCGAACCCGTCCACCAGTACCTCAAACACGATCATGTATAAGACTACACACCTGCTTCCAGCCTGTTTCTTCGGCCGCTCCCGCTCCTCCTGCGTCCAACACGTGACCCAAACTGTGATGACCAAAACCACAAGGACAACAATGCAAAACTTCCTGAACTGAGTCCCTCCGATCCACCTCAGAATGGGGACATCTTCCAGTGGGAGGAACCCAAACCCATAGCCGATGATATTCCCGGCCTGTGTCATACGACTGTGCCAGGCATTACCCACATTGAGCTGATCCGCGGGGGTGATGTCCAAAAGCAAGTTCCTCAAGGAAGCCTGTAAGGCATTGAGTGCGAAATCGAGCAGGTAGAACGATACGACCGCGAGGCCAATGGCGGTATTGACAACGTAATCGGCTCGTTTTGGATCCCAATCACCTTGTCCCCCACCGAACAAATCGACGAGGAACCCGGCAAGCTGTTTGCAGTAGGCGAGGATCAATGTAGAGACGACGAGCACGACGGTAGATAAAACGATCCAGTATCTGCGGCGGTACTTTGAGGTGGAAGAATCCGAGATGGCGCCTATTGTGTTATAATAGAGTAAAACGAACGTGTTAGAATGAATGAAGATTGCGAACATTCAATGAACTGAAGCCGTGGGAGCAGGGAAACGGAAGCGTTGGCTGGTTATGGGATGGAATGGGGAAATTTTACTGGTGGACCAGGAACGAGGGGATAAAAATTGCAAAGAGGGAGGGCATATTGGATTGTAGGGGATGTACGCACCGATGAGCGGCTGAGCAATCAACCCGCTTATGGGGCCCGCCAGCCATACCAACGACGTGAGCTGCTCTGACAGGCCCAAAGTCAACAAGAAGGGTGTCCCATATCTACCCACAAAGTCCATAAGCGTTCCGGCGATACGGCGAGGCACCAACAGCCAAAAACGATTTAAGGAGCGAGAAATAACACGTACCCAAGCTCAACAGTCCAAGCGATCTGGGCACCCGCCATCGAGATACTCAAGAATATCAAATCCTTCGTCGTCAACCTCCTCTTTGGGGCCGGATTCACGAGAGTCTTGATGCCCGCGATGGTGGGATCCAACCTCAACGGTCCTCGTCCGGTTTGAGATTCGGCCGCGCCTCTAGGGTAATTCGACTTGAGGATGCCAGAGCTAGAGGCGTTTCGACGACTGGATGGCCAAGTCATTTGAGTTGTGGGGTCGGGGTCAGCGTCAGCGTTGGAGGCGAAAGTCATGGCCCCGTCTTGTCAGATGCTTGGTGTTGGAGTTTTACTTTTGCTGTGGGGTGGCGGGAAGTGGAGGGGGAGGGGGAGTTCGGAAGCGAATGAAAGCCCCGTGGATGAGTTGGGGTTGTTGTGGAGCGTGTGCCGCAGTTACCACGGTGATAGACTGCAGTAAGATTGTACTTTGTGTGCGAGGGTGCTGGAAGGTATTCCCGACCGTTCCGCCTCCGAAGACCAGGAGACCAACAGACAGATCACTGGGACTGTCCGATCATTTGATGCCATGGGGGAAACTAGGGGACTTTGACAAAAATGGGCTACTTGAGCATTCAGACACCAGTCTATAAACAGCTACTGTACTTGTACTGCGGTACTACACGGGGATGAGCCAGGATTGATACAACATGCGACAATTATCCTGCAAGTGCAATGTGATGAGGATGGATCATGATCGATTCGAGTATGCGAGAGTGGTGGGGCCAGAGAGCAAGTAAAGGTCGCAGATAAGTAAGATCACGTTGTCGAGGTCCCACGGCGGTGACCAAATTGCGCATCGATTGGGGGTAGAGGTTTGCTCAGGAGATGGAATGGAATCCTCCGATGGCTGGTCGTCGCTGGTGTTATACCTGCGGGTACCCTACCATTCCGGTCCATCCCCTTCGTAGTGGATGTCGACACCTTTGTGGTCTGTGGTAATCGAGAAGTAGTAGCTGGGGGTGGGAACTGCGCGTAAAGTTCGCTGGGACCCGTGTAATCACCATCTTCCCTGTCATCTGCCATCCCGCCAGCAGTGTGGCCTGATGACGTCCGGGTAGAGATACCGGGTTTCTGTCGCGTCGGCGTGGTAACATTCGGGCTCCCATTTAGTTGTTGACTCCCGTTGATGGTTGAGAACGAAGAGTTGGATCCACTGGGAGGGATCTCTAAGGGACCCATGCCTGACCTCGACCTCAGCATCTCCTGGCTACTCTTACTTACCAACCCAAGCCCGCTTCCATTGCTTCTCAGTTGAGCCGCACTGGCAGAGGGTCTCAGTAACCTTCTTGGTCGCACCGAGCCATTCACCAACGAGTTCATCGGAGGGACAACCTCTTCGCGATCAGCACCGTTCAGATTTCCGATCGACTCCGTTTGCGATGGCGCGTCTGTCGAGGTCGTTCCTGCACTCCCACTTCGATTCCTCCGTTTGTACTTTTCCATTGCGTCAGCATCCCTTTCCAACATCCGGGTCGTAATTGGTGATAACGTGCTTTGTGTCGTCGGTGTCCCTGAGTTCATGGAGAGGGAAGGTGAGGGAACAGAGAAAGTACTGGGGGTTCCGGCAGACATTTGGTTGTAATGCTGAGGTATTGATCCAGCTGATGGAAGGTGGGTCGAATGGGTCGAGGGCGATGACATCGGAGAATTTGAAGTATAACGACCGTGTAACAGCGACGAAGAGCCATCAAAATCGCTCTCGGAGGTCGTACCACCAGTCATGCGGCTGGCACCAGATCCACTTCGTAGCCGATGACTTCCGCTGCCGTTCCGCTGCCGTATCCTGGGAGGTGAAATGGCAGCATCAGGAGTTCTCTCCGTCCCCTTTTGCGCAGCCTGGGCGAAAACCTGTCTTCTCGCACGTTTGTTATTTTCGAACTGGATTCGGGCGGTATCTTGCAGTGTGTCTCTCGT